AAAAACATGAGTTGTTTTTTTTATAAAATCTTCATACTAACTTGGAAATCCATAATTATGCATAAAATTTGTAAAATTCTAAAAAAAAAAATTAGAGGTTTTATTTAAAACAACAAAGTAAGACAAAATTACCTAAAAATAAGTGCAACGATTTAAACTTGAGTATATTTTTTTACTTTCTATATAATTTACTTCAATAATAGTTAAACAAGTAGGTCAATCTCTTTTTTATTCAATATGTAGTTAGAATAAAATAATTTTTGTTCACCTTTGTATAAATAATAAACTAACAAAATAAAAATATATAAATATCTATACAAAAAAAAAAGTTAAAAGGTTTGATTTTAAAAAGAAGATATATCTCTGTGAGTACAGGTAAGCAATCTGGAACCTCAGCTATCTCATGACATATACCTAAGTCATTGTTGCAATCATCTATTATTCACAGATCTAGTTTTTTTTGCATCATACGATTGCCATCTTGAAACGTACCTTATATAAATATACTTTTGTACAATCGTTCACTGTTTAAGCTTCTAGTGAACCTTTGCAATATTGATACCTTATTATTACTATTAAGAAAATTTTGTCCAATCATTCAGTGCTTTATAGGTGGCTTCTACTATACACGTGTAACTGCATTTGTGATATACCTACCTCTACTTTTGTGATATTACTACTTGATTTCAAGAACATTTTAATAATAAATTTATATAAATATTTTGTTTTATTTGAAATTTCTATGTCTCGATTGAGTTTTTACTATACCTCAATTTCAGCCTCTCCGTATTACATTACATGGATGGATGGATGGATGGACTTAATTATACTTGTAAAAATATTTATTTTAAATTAAAAAAAGTTATTTTTCATAATTTCCTTATGTGAATCGAATTTATTTAATAAGTAAATTATGAAGAATCTTTTTTAATTTAAAATAAATATTTTCACAAGTATAGTTAAGTCCATCCGTGGACACACTGTATAATGCAGTAGAGCTAATTCACATTATAACATCTATAGAAAGTTTCAGAGCAACTTTCAGGGTAAGTACCGTAAAAGTGCTAGTGTGATGTTTTCTGAACTTCACTTTTTAACTTCTGTGAGATGTGCTATAAAAGTCTTGCCGTTGCGGACATTCGGTGGTTGCAGGGATATTAGGGTTACATTAAAAGTACATTGCATGTGAGCTTAAAGAGCCTAAAATTGCAGCTTATTAACTTAGATGGGATGTTTTTGTGCTAGCTGGGTAGGAAATGCCTCAGTTACATATGAAGAAATGTATAATATACTCGAGGCGTGTTTAAATTCTAGGCCTCTTTCACCTTTTTCTATAGATCCTATTGATACTTTACCTCTAACACTTGCTCACTTTTTGATTAGAGATTCTTTGGCCGCATTGCCTCAAGAAGATGTTCAAGGGTTTAATTCGATTTCACTAAAACGATATCACCGAATGCAGCAGTTATTTCAGCAGTTTTGGTCTCGATGGTCCAGAGAATACTTAACATTTGCTACTAACCAGAAACAAGTGGCGATTAAAATCTGGAATCGGTCCCCGACTTAGTCATTATCGTAGGGGATAATGTACTGCCTTTACGTTGGCACATGGCAAGAATAGTCGAGCTGCACCAGGGAAGAGATGAAATAGTACGAGGAGTATCAGTCAAAACTTTAAATGATAGTGTATTGAGACGATCGTCAGCAAAGGTGTGTCTACTACCAATCGAAGAATAGAAGTTTGTTTAGTTACTAATTAATATTTATATTAGTTATTTAGTTTGAAAGCTAATTTTTCAAGGTGGGCGGCTATGTTACGTCACCGATTGTACGTAATATTTTAGCTTAAGTGAGTTTGTCAATCCTATCAATATTTTTGTAATTTTTTGTGTATCCATATCGACCATGTTTGATTAACGTTTGTAATTAAAATAAATAAAATAATTTTTGAACTGTCACAAATCATTTTGAACAAAAATCACGAATTCTATTATACAGTCCATTGCACGATCGCACAGTTAGTTTTATAAGAATTTTTTGATGTTTATACCAGTAGTTCTATAACACTTTTTGCATTAGTCATTACAGACCTGAAGATGGCCTTAGTGCTAAAACCGGTTGCAATGTAATTTAATTATTAAAATAATTTACGTGGGATTCTTAAATTTTTAAGACCACATTTGAGCTTTTAGATACCCTTCTTCATTTATTTTTAAGAAGTAACAGTCACTGCAAATTACTTACAGCCGTATGCTGGCGAACCGCCGGCGAAAGCCCAAGAAGCTGGCGACTCGCCGGAGATTGTCACCGGAATGTCATTTCACGCAAGTTTTCATGTTCTTTTATAGGGAAAAATTTGATATTCGTTCATTATTTTTTGAGTTTTAAGAAATGAATCATGAATAAAATGCGAGAGATACCGGTGATGATCCCTATAAAAGAAAATAAAAACTTGCGTGAAATGACATTCCGGTGACAATCTCCGGCGAGTCGCCAGCTTTTTGGGCTTTCGCCGGCGGATCGCCAGCAAATCGCCAGCGAATCGCTGGCGATACGCCGAAATGAATCTCTGGCGAGTCGCTGGCGATCGACTATGCATACGGCTGTTAGTGTTACATTAGATGACGCTCTAAATTAGGTGTTTCATATCGAATAAATAAGTCAGAAACTATCCAATATTTTTTCTACTTATAAAATTTCAGAATTTGTTAAATCTCCAAAAGAATGTATTTTGGATTGTGTATTCTGTGATTGTCTATGATACAATTTTATAGGATAACTCCACTAACTGCAAAATGTTATTAGCCTGGGGAACAATTTGGTCCTTTATTCCAACCTCTTCCATATATACAAGGTGGTTAGTTAAAGCAGTCGAACTGAAATATTTTCTTAGGAAAACTTTTTTTGGGAAATCCTCGAGACCAGTTGATTTTGATTTCAAGGGGGACTTCTTTTGATCTTTAATTCATAGATGTAGGTTTAAGTGACATATCATTTCAACGGTATTTCAATTCTCTTTTTAAACATGCTGACATTTTTTTTTTGTTTTGTGTTAAAATTAATGTAAAACACCTGTTGGGAGTGTCGGTGAAATAAACCGATAAAAAATTAAAAAGAAAAGAACTCAACTGCAAAAAATTTAGTTTTTATCAGCGAAGCCTTGATAATGTGAGTGATTTATCGGTTTTACAGGTAGTTCCATTCTGATTTAACACTAATCACAATTATTATCCAGTTGCTTATTATTTAAGCAACAATAAAAGGGCTTGAGAAAATGCAAGAATTTTTAATGAAAGGCATTCTGGTAAGAACCTTAGCGATCCCTACCTAGTAAATTTAATAACTAAATTCATAAAGACCGGGTCCGTTACTAATAAAAGTACCATGGAAGGCACCATACTGTTACTAACGAGGCTATACAGGTTGCAATTTTGGGTCCTGTTGACCTGTATCCTACTTCAAGGACCAGAAGAGTAGCAGCAACTTCAGAGGAATTCCACGAAGTAGTCTTCAAAGAATTAAAAAAAGCATCGATCCATTTCTATAAGATTCATCTCGTGCAAAAACTTAACGAAGGTGATCCAGATACAATTTCGTAAGAAAATAATTGAAAGAATTTTAAACACCCTAGTTTTTATATTCTACATGCTTTTCTAATAAATACACTTACTTTCTTTCTTATTGGTAACGTCAACAGATACCATTGCTGATACTAGAATGATTCAAATCCACGAATTATGAAAGAACAGTATTCACAATATTCAGAAAAATTGAATGTATGTGCTGGGATTTTGGACAATAATATTGTTGGTCCCCTTTTCTACCTGGTAACTTGACAGGTGAATCTTACCTCAATTTATTTTGAAGACTTGATCTACCCTCGCATTATGGAGATTCTCGAGAACGACGATCCGATCCCAGAAACGTATGTATTTGTTTAACAGGATCGCGCCTCGCCACAATATGCAGCTCCTGTACGTGACTTTTTAAATCGATATTGTTCCCAACACTGGATTGGTAGAAGAGGTTTCATTGAATGGCCCCCAAGATCGCCAGATCTATCACGATTAGAATTTTTTTCGTGGGGTTATTTAGAAAGTGTTGTGTATAAGACGAAAGCTACATCTTTTAAAGATCTTTGACACCGACTAGTGCAAGTATGTAAAGAAATAACCCCTGAAATAATCCGAAATGTTATGGAACATGTTGAATAATGAAGTAAATCGCAATTTGAATATTTGAATAATTAAAACTTGTTTGGAAACTTTTTTGTTCGATTTATTTCACCGACACTCCCAACAGATGTTTTACATTAATTTTAAGCATGTTTAAAGAGATAATTAAAATACCTTTAAAATGATGTGACACTTGATCCTTTGTGCCAATTAGTATTCTTGAAGGGGTTGCCACCCCGTTTAGGAGGATGAACCTACATCCATGAATTACAGATCACAAGAAATCCCCTTTGAAATCAAAATCAAACGGTCTCGGGGATTTTCCAAAATAATTTCTTCTAGAAAAATATTTCAGGTGGACTGTTTTAATTGTGCCATCCTGTATATAAAAAGAGATTTACAAAAAACATTTATAAAGTAGACCATGACCGAAAAAGATAAAGGTACGAATCATGTCCGTGATAACTATACACGGCACTGAATTAAATCCAAACTGGCACTTAAAGAGAAGATTGTACGTTTGAAATACGTAAATGTTTCCAAGGCCTGCTTTAGAAACATTTTTTGTTCTAAAAAATATTGGAAATACTTTAGTTCGCCAAATCTAGTAAAACATTTTATAAAGATAAAACTGCTCCTTTGCTGCAATTAATGTTATTAGTTTATTAACCCATAATTGTTTTTTTTTCCTTATTTATGGATAATTATTTAACACAATACATACTGTCTTGTTATACACGACTTTCATGCAAACAAAAAATCTTTATTACATTAAACATTCTTTATTGCTAATAATAACGTTAACATTAATATCAACAATAAACAATCGTTTCTCATGATTTTAAAATATCAATAATGTCATTAAAAAAATGCTTATCTCTGTACACAAATATTCCGTTTAAATTACAGTTACTTTCGTCATTGAAATAGGTTATGCTTTTGATGTGTGATGATGTAATGGCTTCTCTGTAATCCAGGATGTCTCCGCCTAAAGATTTAAGAATGGCATGGGGAGAGCAAGTATCCCATTTGAAAGTAGTACCCTTGGTTAGAATATAAGCGTCTGCTAAACCTAAAAATAAAAAGTATACATAATAAAACATTACAGAATTTGAGGTATTTTTCTTCTAAATAAAAAAAAAATGCGTTTAAAAGCTCATAAAATGAACGATTATAAATTAATAACCTAAACAACAAATAAATTATTTACAATAACGATACAATACAACATATGAATGTACAAATAGAGAGAACAAATCAACGAAATAAAACATATTACTCTTTAACTAAGACAAATTAACAATAAAATCCATAAATGAAAAACAAAAAGATAACCAAAATAATAAAGAAATTAAATGTAACAGTGTATTGGAAAGAGTTACAACTAGAGCCAGGAATATATGCAAAACACCATATTTTGCATATGTTACATAATATATATACAATTTTTGATTTTGAATGCATATATTGATATTTTGTTAATTTTTTGGCATATATCTGACGTACTAATTGGCTGGACACATTAAAATTATGAGTTTTGGACCAAAATAATATTTTGTGAAATGCCTTTACAGGTCGATTTTCTAAAATTTTGAAGGATTAACTTTTCTCTGTAATAAATTACGGTTAATGGTGTAGGTACTTGAGAGGATTAAATTATAAACACCCTCCTTAAACCAACAAATTTTGCTAAATATCCTTTCAGGTAGTTGTATTAATATCTTCAAATTTCTAAATGACTCAGTTTACTTCCAACTTCATTTCAGTCTTTATTGTTGTGTTGTGTTAACCAGTGGGAAAAATGGAAAAATTAATTGAGTCGTGGGTAAAATCTTATTCAGATTTTGTTGTAGAAGGTGATAACCGGGTGTTTTGTAAAACATGTTCTAAAAGTGTAGGTACTTTTTTATTTTATATTTTATTTTGACCTTTCACAATGGAAAATCAAACGACAGTAAAATATTATTTCAACTCACAGTTAAAAAAAAAGTAGGGCAACTTTACAACGTACGCATTTATTTAATTTAATTAAAACTTCAACATCTACAGGAATTTATTTGTTTTAGATTCCATGTAAAAAAAAGTTTCAAATCGACCAACACGCGAAAACACCCTCACATATAGCAAAGCAGAAATCTAAAGACACTCGCAGACAAAGTCAACTTCCCTTGAAACAATATATAAAATTTGGATCGTCTAGAAGTGAACAAGCCATTTTTAATGAAGATTTATGCAAAGCTTTAGTGACTTCGAATATCCCTTTAATACGATTAAATAATCCATATCTCCGATCATTTTTGCAAAAATACTGTAAATTTAATATTCCAGAGCAAAGTATATTACGCAAACGTCGTGTTGACAGTTTGTACATTGAAACTCGTGAACAAATTCGTGATATTACCTTAACAGAGTTGCAGAAGAAATTAGGTCTAACTTTCCTTTAATAAATGATTTAATTAGTAACGTAAAAAAAATATTTCTTAAAGCTCCTCTAAAAACTCAATTGTACAAAGAAAAATTTTCTGAATTACAGATGCCACCGGAACCTGTGATTACTCGGTGGGGTACCTGGCTTAAAGCTGCCTTTTTTAACGCAGATAATTATGAAAAAATTAAAGAAATCATATTTGATTTTGATGATTTATCTAAGGGAATATCTAATATAAAGAAGTTGTTTCAAAATCACATATTACCAAAGCAATTAGTGTTTTTAAAAAATTATGCATTTGTACCCAAAATTATATTAGATTTAGAACAAAAAAATTTACCTTTGGTGACTTCCGTAAATTTAATTAAGACGTTTGAATCAGAGTGTAAAATGTCCAGGGCGATATTGGAAAGACGATTTTTTATAAATTTTCCAAATGTACTTTTAAAAAATGAAGGATTTATTGTTTTAAGAAACCTTGCTAATATTTATTCTGGTAACTATGAAGATATTAATACTATTCATCCAGATATTTCAGGAAAATTTAAGTTTGCACCTATTACTTCTGTAGATGTCGAAAGGAGTGTTTCTTTGTACAAGTACATACTTACTGATAGGAGACAATCATTTAATACAGATAATTTAGAAAAACATCTAATTGTTCATTCGTTTAATAATAATGTTGATTTGTATAAATAAAATTAGTTAATAATTAAATAATTATTAAGTATTATATTTGGTATTGTAATGGACAAAAAAGTTGAAAATAAAAATAAATCATACTAAATCAATGCATGTTAATGTTACTGTTAGACAAAATAAACTGTAGTGGAATTGAGGTTTAACCAGAAAATATAAGGCTTTATTCAACTAAATTGACAGTGTCATATAAATCAATAACATCTATAACAATTGAACATTTAAACATAATAAAGGTAGATTCACCACGTTCTTCCAATGTTAAAAATAATCGCCTAGTTACTTGGGTCTAGAATGGGTTCTTTCAAAATGACGCAATTCTTGGCATTGGTCTCCAGACTATTCGGAAGTTTCACAATGACGGTTGGATGATTCCGGGATAGTAGACATTTCAGTTGAAGGGTTGTCGACTTGCACTTGAGGTTCTAAATCTACATTACTTCACTACTACCTTCACTATTATCTAAATTTATCTCTTCTTGTTGAGTTGGGGCTAGATGTCTGTTTGAAATGGTAATTTCTCTGCCGTTTTGTGGGCAAACCAGTGAGTGAAACGGATTGGGTTGAAGAAGTTCAGACTCATCTACTATGGGGTCATAATTACTTTTTCAGACGAGACGTTACACTAATATGGGCCGAGGTTAAAACCATGATGGTACTGACTGGCCATTCGCAGATCTTCTAGGGTGTGCAAACATCCTTTCATGTGGGGTCTCGTTTATTGCCGTACATAATAGCGACCTGATAGAATGTAAAGCTTGCTTCAGTACCAGTTCCCAAAATTTCAAGTCCCAATTACTGGTTCATAAGGCCAATTGAATAGACTTGAATATGATTCCATTGTATCTTTCTGTTTACCCGTTGCCTTTTGGATTATATGGTGTTGTAAAGCTCGTAGCCACCCTTCTCTCTCTCTCTTAAAAATTGCCGGACTTTGCTTGATAAGAAAGAGGCCCCTCGGTCGGAGTGGACATAGCTGGGTAAACCGAAAACAGTGAAAAGATCAACCAAACAGTTGATGAGTGTTTCTGAGCTTAAATCTGGGCAAGGGTATGCAAAGGGAAATCTTGAAAATTCATCTACTATAGTCAATGGATAACGATTGTTTGTGTTTGTCGGTATAGGACCTTTAAAATCTATTGATAATCTTTCGAAAGGAGATGTTGCTTTTATAAGAGTTCCCGAAGTAGTAGCAAATTTTGGTTTGAGTTCTTGACACACTCGACAAGATGAGGTAATTTTCTTTATATCGTCTATAGAGTACGGCATATTTTTAGAAGCTGGATAAGATTTTCAGTTTCACTAGTGACCATAGCCACTACTCTGTAGAGTGCATTGGAAACATTATTGCCCCAGGGCGGTAAATTATGTCAAAATGAAAGCATGACAGTTCTTAACGCCACCTCAGGATTTTCTCATTTTTGATTTTAAATGCATGTCTCTGATTGAACATGAAGCTTATGGACTTTTGATCGGTTATTAGTTTAAAGGTCTTTGCAATCAGAAAATGTCTCCATCTACGTAAAGACTCAACTATCGCGTATTCTTCCTTTTCTATAATGGAATGACCTTTCTCAGACGCAGATAAAGTCCTAGCGAAAAATGCTACCCGACGTCCATCTTGTGATAAAGGCGCTGCTATGGTATGTTCCGAGGCATCTGTTTCAACGGTAAATGGAATTTTAGGATCAATCGAGTTGACTGCAGCCCTAGCAATATCTTGTTTCAGATTATTAAATGATGCTATAGCGGATTCTACAAGTGAAATTTTTTGTCTGTATTAGAGGTCGTATTTTTTCTGAAAACTTCGCATACTGAGCAAACATACCAATAGCTCTTTTGAGAGTTCTTGAGTCTTTCGGTAACGATAGTTCTAGTAAAGGTTTCTATCGCTCAGAATCGGGTGTGATTGTGCCGTTGGATATGTCTAGTAAATGCATTTCTTTTATACAAAAAACACTCTTTTCTTTATTAAGAGTAAGATTGTATTTATTGGAAAAATCGAGGAAGGCAGATAACTTTCTTTCATGATCCTTTTCATCTCTTCCACATATGGTGATGTCATCCAAATATGCTACAATACTTTTAAGACGTTCTTTCTGAATAATTGAGCGAATAGCACGCTGGAAACAAGCAACGCCGTTGGTTACTCCAAACGGAATTCGACAAAAATAGGTAAAGATTCCCGGATGCTTTGAATGCAGTACAAGTTTTATCGTTCTCAACTATAGGGCTTTGATGATATGCACGTTTAAGGTCTATCTTGCCAAATATTCTATACTTAGCTACCTCTGTAACCACATCCTCCATAGCAGGTAGAGGAAATTCATCTAATACCGTGAAGCGATTTATATTTTGGAAGTAGTCGATACACATACGTTTTTTATGACGTTTGTTGGAAGTAACTAATACGTGAGCTCACCATGGTGACGAACTTTCCCCGATTATTCCGTCTTTAAGTAACTGTGAAACTCGGTTTCCTTTAAAGCTACATGTACTTCCCGTATCAACCAGAGCTTTCGCAGCGTGTTCATTGATGAAAATTGGCACAATAGCTTCTCCTAAACCCGAAGCAGCAGAAAGTATACATGACAATGTTTCGAGTTTACTTTTAGGTTGTTGTCCTTTGGTCACTGCGGATACGGTAGGTTTACTTCGACAGACTTTTTTTGCGAAGTGGCCTTTCTTGCCGCAGGATAGACATATTGTATTAAAGGCTGGCCATCTTTATAGGTGGCTTCTGTTATAGCACTTGTGTAAGTGCGTTTGTGATACACCTACCTCTACTTTTGTGATATTTCTACTTGATTTCAAGAACATTTTAATAATAAATTTATATATTATGTTTTATTTAAAATTTCCATGTCTCGATTAAGTTTTTACTATAAACTCAATTTCAGCCTCTTTGTATTACATTACAAAAAGAACAATATAGTGTGTCCACGGATGGTCTTAATTATATTTGTAAAAATATTTATTTTAAATTAAAAATTATTTTTCATAATTTCTCAATGTGAATCGAATTTATTTAACAAGTAAAAGAAATTATGAAGAATTCCTTTTTTAATTTAAAATAAATATTTTCACAAGTATAGTTAAGTCCATCCGTGGACACACTGTATAATGCTGTAGAACTAATTTACATTATAACATCTATAGAACGTTTCAAAGCAACTTTCAGGGTAAGTACGGTAAAAGTGCTAGTGTGATGTTTTCCGAACTTCAATTTTGTAACCTCTGTGAGATGTGCTATAAAAGTCTTGCCGTTGCGGACATTCGGCGGTTGCAGGGATAATAGGGTTACATTAAAAGTACATCGCATGTAAGCTTAAAGATCCTAAAATTGCAGCTTATTAACGTAGATGAGATGCTTTTGTGCTAGCTGGGTACCGATTGTAAAGAATTATTGTTCTACAAAACGCAGTTAGTGGGCTGCTGTCGAGGTCAAGTAAACTTGTTACCCACTATGTACAGAGAAAACGGCTAGAAAACTATACTAAACTAAAATAAATACCATCTAAATAAAACATGTCTGAAAAATCAATAGAAATACTAAATGGAACTGGATAAAATAGAGGACTTTAAAAAAATAATAAGACAAGAACCAGTAGTAATAGAAATAAAAGGTAATGAAACTGGTATGGTCATGTGAAAAGATTGATATATATTAGAATTATCAGAAAAATGAGCTAGCTGGTTTTATCAAATTTAAATTATGTGCTGCTGCTGCTGCTGCTGCTTAAAAGTTTTTTAGTCTTCAACTGATATCAATAAATTGGCATGTTGTTACATTTTAATAATTTTTATTCTAAATTAAATATTTGCACTTTATACAGTCTTGTATTCTGCTTTGTAGTTGTAAAAAGCATGTACAATATGAATATATTGTTTGTTATGCCATATTATGTTGTCACTTTAATGTTTATAAAATGAATTGAATAAGTTTCTGACGTATGCAAAGAGTCAAAGTTCTTCTCTTTAGGTCAAAGTAGCTCCTGTAATTATTAAACAGTCCAGTCTTCTATTTATGTAACTAGCAGAGGGTCCCACTACACTTAGACCTCACTAGGCTGGATACATCCTTAAAAATTGATGGACCTCTCTTAGCTCGTCAGCCAGCCTACAGATTTAATGTAGAAAAATAACGTCTTTGAAAAGTGCTTCTCCCACATCGTCCGGTGTTAGTCAAAACTCACTGAACACGAATCTTTCAATAAACGAGAGCGTCGGGTAATCGCAGATGATTTTCTTGTTTGCACTCCCTGCAGAGTGCGAATTCTGACAGGTCTGACAGTCATAGTTCAGTATTTGTTTGCTATAGTATTACCAAGGACACCAAGGTAACTTAAAAGCTCACTGGCAACTTTGCAACTTCTTATTTTATCTCACGTTACCTTGAATTTTAAAATGGAATGTTCTTTAATTTTTCTCAATGGATTTTGCCAGTCCAATGAAAGATCCAGGTCCAAAATTTATTTGGTTTTTTGACTTCTTGGCTACTACAGCCCAGTCTTTTTACCGTGTCTCATTTTTTCAGCAGCAGTTGGTATTAAAACCCAAGTGTATACTTTATTTTAACAAGGTGTTCTTTCAACCATATAATAAGGGGGTTCCTGATAAAATTTTGTAATTTGGTTCCAAAAAAACAGATTTGTTTTATCTTAAAAACTGTTTATATTGGTACAAGCTTTCCTTTAGTTAAATTCCAGTTTGTGATGGTGTCTCTTCTTTCAGTTCATGTTTCTAACGGGAAAACATCTCTTTTTATTTCTTTCACATTTTTTTTTTTCTTTAAAAGCCAATTATAATAAAAAACAAATAATCTTTTCATTTTACTACAAAAGAACCAACATTACAAAATTCCAGTTAAATGGTTGGTAAAATATTCTGTTAAAATATTGGGACTTCACTATGGAACACCCTGTATATCCACTGCATCGTACTTGGTTTCAATATCCATGAGTTCCCGACCATTGCTCTTGAAGCTTCTTCCATTGTTTTTTTTTATAACAACAGAAGCTGGACATATTTCAATGATTTCAAATTCAAGGACCCCACTCCTAATTTTAAAAAGTACTATCATGTTGTTTAAACTATTTTACCATAATTGAAATGACTGTAAATTTTCTGTTTTTAGCAACAATTTTTAACTTATAATTACATACATACCCACCTAAAATTACAGTTAAAATTTTATAACCAGCTCCAGATGCTTCGATTAAGTCAAAATTGCAATTTCTCAGTTTTTCTTTAATACCTTCACTTTCGCTGGAACTAATGCTAATGACATTTTTCTTGGAAGGTTCATTTATTCTACTGTGATCCTTAAAGTTTGGTAGGGATACTCCCCAAATGCACTGCTGAGAAAATCTAAAAAAAAAATATTAGAATCAATAAATGTCTATTTCTGTTGCTCTAGAATTAGTCTAAAACAAACCTAAAATTAAGCTTTTTATATAAATAAAAATTTTCCTTGGTTTTTTCGGTCAATAATTTTATTTTATATCGTTATCACAGCACTATATATGTTTCGAAAACCTTTGTTTCCATCTTCGGGTGCAGTAAAAATTTTAGAAACATTAAAAAACACATTGGGACGATTACAAACAGTTTAAAATGTTTAAAATACTAGAAATCCATCTTTTTGTTTTATCGTGTGAAGGTGTATTCGAAATAATATTGAATTGGTTTAAAAGCAAACATGACGGGCGCTCCTCCACCAAAAATCAATTTTACATTTGAGACAGTTAAAAAAAATTGTAAAAAAAATGGTTCAGGCCAATCGTTGTAAAAATGAACCAAGAATTTCGCTAAACCGCGAAAAACTTATATTTTTAAAGAAAAACAAGAAAAATTTCAACTTTTTAACAAATTTAATTTTTTGGCTGTTTACCGGCATTCTATAACAAATATCTTAACTATTTTCTAAATAACTTTTTTTGAAAAAGATTACCAATTTTAAACAGGACCGAAGATTAACATAGTTTTCATTCCGATACTAATTCTATTAAAACAATGATACCAGTGAATATGGCAACGCTGCTAGTCTTTGAAGCCCGTGGTTAAAAGGGTAGCTGCTGTTTAGTCAAATTTGTTAATTCCTGTGTCGAAAAATACTTACCTAGTTGTTTTTAAAATGGTGCGAAATTATTGTGATCGTCTTAGTTTGTTGTTGAGGCGTTGTTAGGTTTTTGTTTAATTTAGTTTTTAGTTAATTTATAAAATGAAAAATTCTGGAAGGCAAAAATGCACAGCTGACAAATTTCTATTTTATTTGTTTGCTGCCAGAGTTAGTAAATCCTAGAAAAATACGACATGTGCCAATTAGGGAAAAGAGATTGTCAAGAATTTTGCACGCTTAAAAAAATGTGTAATATACAGGGTGTTTCTAAATACATGCGACAAAATTCAGGAACTGATTGCTCGTATGAAATTAAGATGGGTCTTTCCTATAACAAAATTTCCTCAGCCCACCCCTTTTCGAGATATCACTCTTAAAATGTGGTGACTAAAATTGAGTTTTAAATTTTTTTTTTTTATTTCCGTAAAGGAAACTTGAAATTCTGTAATCGCAAAGGACTAACCACGGGTATTTTTTCAATATTTCTGTTACATTATAGGTGGGTGAAATTAGCAACACTTACTTTATTTCATATCAAACCTTTTTTTCGAGATGAACTTTTATGAAATCCTTGATTTATTTAATTTTTTTTTCATTCTTGAATTTTTTTCCCAAAACCAATAGCTTCAGAGAAAAAAAATTAACACTCTAATTTATTATTATTTTTTTTTTTAATAAATTGAGTGGAAAACAGTGTAACGGGCTTGTAACTATCGTATCGTACACTCTGTCATTATTCGTTTCTTGCAATAATTTACACCAGTTTGCACCAGAAGATAGCACTTAACGAAGCGTTTTAGCCACTAATTTTGGCAAATTTTAAGAAATCATTAACAAGACATTAGGGGCTTAAATTTGGGGATTATATTAAGAATAGTGCTGTCGAGGAATGCATTTATTTTCATTATGATATTTCAAAATTAAAGCCCTTTTAGTTTTTTTGGGAAACTGGAAGGAATTAAAACATTAAAATATATGCATATTATAGATATTATTGCCTAATTTATTTTGCCAAAATTTAAATATTTTGAGATATTCTTGACCGAAAATTATAAGGGGTATAAAGACCTTAAGATTGAAAGAGAATTAACTTTAATTCATGAGATGCAAAGCATCATAATTGTCGCGTCACAAAAACCACCTAATGCCAAGAGAAAATTTTGATTCAACAGTATTGTATATTTTGTGTTGTAAAAGAGAAAAAATTAACATTTCGTGTTTTAATAGTTATTTTTTTAATTTAATAATCTATGTGAAAAAATTTTTTTTTAATACAGACTTTAAAAAATTGTTATATTAATATACTCATTTAATTGTACTTATATTTGTTGTTCCTTTAATACAATAAATAAAATTTACCTATCTCAAATTCATCACTTTCCGTATCCATACACCTAGGGTCCGATTACAATTAGAAAAACACCGCTACGTCATAACTATTATTTCGAATTTCCAATATACAGGGTGTCCCGAAATTAGACGGTCACATTTTAACAGCGTAATCTACATCCTACAAGCATTAGAAATTAAAAATTAAAAAAACCGAATTCAAAAACGTGCAGATGCCGTCACCACATCTTAACCAAATTTATATAGGATCACCAATGAGGTACCCCCTTACTACCAAAAAAAGAATAATATAAATCGGACAAGGTGGTAAAGCATTATCGCTAAACATACATAAAAAATTAAGAGTTTGAGAATTTTCTCATGGGCCCAATTATTAGATTTTGACCAAATTTATATGGAACCACCCCTGAAGTACCCCCTTTCTAACAAAAAAAGAATCATTGAAATCGGACACCGTGTTAAAGAATTATCGCTGAACATACATAAAAAAAATAAAAAAAAAATATTGCGACGAATTGAGAACCTCCCTCCTTCTTTTATGAAGTCGGTTAAAAATAGGAGTAAAAGTTTATATAAACATAGGTCCGAAAACGTTTCGTTTTCGAGATACAGGGTGTTACAAGTGAAGTCCAGATGAAATATTTTCTAAAATTTCTTTAGTTACCGGTTTTTCAAAGTTAAAAAAAATAAAATTTCTAATTCTACAGACCTACTAATTATTGTTTATACTTTCGAATAAGGTAACATGCTTTTCTCTTGAAAATGGCGCGTCCTAGTGAGATGCAACAAATGTAGCTCTATTATACAGAAAATATTGGTTTTTCAAATTTTATAGTCAAAAAATCTGATGTGTCCAACACATGACTTTCCTATCTAGTTATTATAGGCTTTTTGTACAACTTATTGCAGTACTTCTATAAATGTTTAGAGGATAAACTAAATATATACATTTTCCACATACATCTATCTACCTAGAAATATTTCTATAGTTATTCATTGAAAACGAAAATACTGAAAAATTTAAATTTAGCAATTTTTCCATTACGGTCCGTTTTAGAAAAATCATGTATAAACAAAAATTATAGAGATCGATATCGCAAACAACTTTTAGTTTAGTTTAGAATTTTGCACATTTTGTCAAATTTCTCGAATACGGACCATTTCAGGAAATTTTGACATAAAGCAAAAATTATAGATAATAATATTAGAAGTATTTTTTATTTGAATAATTTTCTTCTCCAAACATAAATAACGGATATATTCAATAAAATATAGAAACGGCCTACTATAAAGTACCCTCCAGATGTTCCGACTTTGTCCAAAATCTAATTATTTCACGTCAGGCCGAAATAAAACTTAAATTTAAAATTTAGTGTTTTTCTGTGTATCGGTTCATGAGTTATGGTGGATATAGACATACAGATACACACGGCAATTTTACCCTAAGCTCCCCCTAATTTACCCACCTAAGAAGATGATCAATAACTGGGATTTAGTCCAATAAATGAAGCGTAAAAAGGTAAGTATTTGTAACAAATTTTACCTAATTATCTTTAAACGTTTAGAAAATATTTACAAAAGTGTGGTATCAGGACTTCACCTTTAACACCCTGTATCTCGGAAAAGAAACGTTTTCGGACCTATGTTTATATAAACTTTTACTACTATTTTAGGATGTAGATTACGCTGTTAAAATATAATTTCGGGACACCCTGTATATTATCTATAACTATCAATAAATAAAAAATATTTGAGTTGTTTGGTTTAAAAATAGTATTCCTACATTCGTATTAACAAGCCACTAACCACCAGTAGGCGGCGATAGCCAACGAATTATACCTACCTGAATTGTAATCGGACCCTTCAGCGTACGACATACAACATTGCCAAATTTATGTATCGAACAAGATTTCAAATACTTTAAGGGGAGGTCGTGATATTCGTGCGGTGTGACGTCAGAAGGGACTGGATTGCCACGATAATCATAAAGTAGGAAAACAAAAAGACGAGATTTTACAAAATTAAAAAAGTACCAGTGGCGTAACAGTTAAGGACTAGAAGGCTTACAATTATTTAATAATATTAAAATAAACGTTTGACAAATCTTTTATGTCTGTTTTATTATTTACAGACTTGTTATTTTTTTTTAATATGTATCATCTTAAGGAATATTCTTGATAACGATATAAAATAAAATTAATGACCGACGAAACCAAGAAAAATTTTTATTATTATAAAATTCTGCTACGGTCAGGAAATTATACTTATTTAAAATTAGGCTGTGCCTATTTTTTAATTTTCTCAATTTTATTAAAGTAAAACTATTAATTAGTATAGTTAAGCTAGCAGACTACTTAATGGTATAAAATTAGCCCAAAATAAGCATAAAATTATGTCATTTTCAAAATTTGTAAAATCCAAGCTAGTAGAGCAACTAATTTTTCTTATAAAGAAAGGAACAGAATTTTGTTATGTTGTTATAAAATTAGTTTAAAATAGAAATAAAAAGACGATATAAATACTATTTGCGTATAATCAAAATGGCGAATTAGAGTCGTAATTTGATTTATATGAAGTTAATAATTTTATGTTCTAATTTTCTATATCATTTAAATGAAGCTATTTAAAAAAATAGTATTTATTCGCACCAAAACTGACTATCTTTACTAATGGGTCTTCAACAATACCGAAAACCCACGTGACCAAATCGTCATGACAGCGATTGGTGAAAATAAAAATAAAAATCCCTAGATGTGAGCCAGTGCCGTAGGTATTTTATTACAAAATAAATCTTTTTTTGTGGTCTGCAACTACGAGAACAAAATTCAGTTACTTAACTGTTAGAATTACAACACAAAATTATAATATTAATTAGAGGTACCTTTATATTATTGTATTT